TATCTAGGCACACTTCATAAGTAGCCTCCCATCTTGATCAGATCGGGATGCGGCTGGTGTCGGTCGACAAGCCGGGTATCTAGGTAGTTCCTGGTCCAACCCTGACCTACGAACCCTGCGTGAGGTACCTACCGTGCTTGAGGCTGAAGACGGCATACACAAACATTTCAACTTGACTAAATCAAGCTGCCAGAGCCATGGTTACAGGCTGGTTCGGTGTGGACCGTGCACAGTTTACTGAACTGAACTGACTCAACCTCCCTTTCCTATTGGACCCTCTTAACTAACCCGCGAGACCCACACTTCCCCTCACTCTGGCAAATCATGGAGAGCTTGGGGGGGAATTGGCGTATGGCCATAGCGTCAGGGCCGTCCTAAAAAGTAAATTGCTGTTGGGTAGATCTGGAGGTGTGGGTGAAAGAGGATTTCGTGGGGGAAGGAAAGAGTCGGAGACGAGCCAAATCCAAAGTTCCCACACTATCGTCGCTTAGCCTCTTCCCCCGCCCATTTTACTGCTGTTACCTACCTACTTACCTATCTACACTATTTTTGGGGTTGTATCAATGGACGACTCAATCTGACATAACTCATCGACCTACCTACACCAGACTGAGCCTACAGACTTGGAATAACATCAACAATACATTGCACACCTACTTGACATAACCCAACTTAATAGGCAATGCTACTGCTTATATCAATTTATTCATGACCAACTCTGTACACACCTCTAATAGCATTCACAGCCTGGGCTCCTTGACCCACCGGTTGAAGAAACCCTGACAATTAATTCACGATGGACTGGGAAAATTGTCTTATGCAAGACTACGGGACAGCGGCACTCCCGGCTCGGCCTGCCAAGCAGATGCAACATCCAGCGTGTGTTTCTGACATGCAAGGTTCGCATAGGTTTCGATTGGATATGGTCCGCCGGGCGTTAAGCGCTGGGGGTCTGTCTACCTAGCTACCTATGCACACCCAGACACCTCTCTACATTACCTAGATATACATAGGTATAGGTAGGTAGTGTAAGTACCTACCTAGTCGATATATATGTAAGACCCTGGAGTACCCCCGACCAGGAGAAAAGGTAGGTTAGGTAGTGTAGCTTCGAAGCAACCAATTCAGTACGACAGCCAGAGGCACGTTGCTGCATCCGAACCAAACTGCAACACCCTCTTCTGCAGCATGCGGTATACTACGTGCTTCTTGCAGAGACCGATCTGTGTCATCCATGTCAGGGCCCACGACCAACCCCCCGTCACTGATCCACACCCGACAAAGTCCGGTCCGTCACAACTATCGCCAAGCGTCATAGGTGACCCGCATCTCCGTCTTTTCGGCTCCGCTAAACACTCCTTGTGAGTGGAACCGGGTGTGGGCCTATGACGATCGTCAGAAAGAAAGAGTCTTTTCTCGCTCTTTGCCTGCTTGTGCCTACCGCCTTCAGTAATTCCCAGGGGGAAGAAAAAGAGAAAAGTTTTTTTTTGACTCGACCGCCATAGGCTACCCTCCTTGCCTCCTTATCAGCATGGGCCGCCACGCAACACAACCAGACTCAACCCTATTATCAGCCTTGCCTACCATCCAAAGTGGGAAATCTCTTCAGCTCACTTGTTGGTCCCTAGTGTTGCCGTGTTGTGGGCTCTCCGTATGGGGCAATGATGACATCTCTCGGTCGTTGCTCGGTCTCACCCATCTTTGTGCTCATCTCTCCCCCAGGACCCTTGGATCTGGTAAAAATCTGACATCTGAATTATTGACCTCACCGTAGTCCACCGACGCGACTTGAAGACGATATATATAATGGTCCTCATATCCGTCCCCAGATGGCCATTAGCTCTCTTTCCTTTTATCGTTCCCTGATCTGTACTCAGTTAACTCCGAGACTGTCCTATATACTCGGTTTGATCAGCATATTCAGAAAAAAAAAGGGAAAGGACAAAAAATGGTACACGTAGACAACGAGGCCGGCGTGCCTACCTACTGGGGCACGACCGGGAAGCCTCTCCAGCGGCTCATCACCATTGTCGCTACTACGGACTTCCTGCTCTTCGGTTATGATCAGGGTGTCATGTCCGGTATCATCTCTGCCCCCGCCTTCACCGAAGATTTCCCCGAGGTCAAGGACAACAGTACCTATGAAGGCTTCGTCACTTCTATATACGCCGTCGGCTGCTTTCTCGGAGCTTGTTTCATCCTCTCATTCGGCGACCAACTCGGTCGTCGCAAGTCTATCTTCCTTGGTGCCAGTATCATGATTATCGGAGTCATCATTCAGCTCGCTTCAGTGCCTGTCGGACAAGGCGCAACGGCACAGTTTATCATCGGGCGGTGTATTACTGGTATTGGTAATGGCATTAATACTTCGACTATCCCTACATGGCAGGCAGAGTGAGTTTATTGCCCCTTAAAAGAAAAATAAATAAAGGGCCCATCGCTAATATCGTATCTTCCCTCTTTTTAGATGCAGTTCATCCCATAATCGCGGCAAGCTCATCTGCATTGAGGGCGGTAACGTCGCCATTGGTACTTTGATTGCTTACTGGATTGATTATGGCTGCACCTATGGGCCTCACGCTTTCGTCTGGCGGTTCCCCATCGCCTTCCAGTGCTTTTTCGCAATTGTTGTTATTGTTCTAATGCTTAAGCTGCCTGAGTCACCCCGTTGGCTCCTCACCAAAGACCGGAATGAAGAAGCTGCCACGATTCTGGCCGCGCTTAACGGGCAGCGCCGAGACCACCACGATGTCAAGACCCAGATGAGCGTCATTACCGATGCCATCCGTGCTGCCGGCCACGATGGCGGCGTTACAGCCGTTTCGGAGCTCTTTACCAATGGCCCCACTCAACACTTCCGCCGTCTTATTCTTGGCGCTTCTTCTCAGATGATGCAACAGTTGAGTGGTTGCAACGCCGTTATTTATGTAAGTGTTTTGAATCATGCGTCACAAGTTGGCCAGAAAAAAAACCAAATACTAATTTGCTGCGGTGTAGTACTTCCCCATCCTGTTCCAAACCTCCATCGGTACCTCGCACAACCTTGCGCTGCTGCTTGGTGGTGTCAACATGATCATCTACGCTATCTTTGCGACGACTTCTTGGTTCGCTGTCGAGCGTGTCGGTCGCCGCAAGCTGTTCCTCATCGGCACGGTTGGACAATGCCTGTCTATGGTTCTCACCTTTGCCGCATTGATCCCCGGAACCGAGTCGGCCGCTAAGGGTGCTGCTGTCGGTCTCTTTGTAAGTTATCCTTAAAGGTTCTAGAGATGAATGCGTGCCAGTTGCTAACGGTCTCTATTATAGACTTACATCGGCTTTTTCGGCGCTACCTGGCTACCTCTCCCTTGGCTATACCCCGCCGAGATCAACCCTCTCAAGACTCGCGCCAAGGCCAACGCTACTTCTACCGTTTCCAACTGGCTATGGAACTTCTTCATCGTCATGATCACCCCGGTGCTCGTAGCCAACACTGGTACAAGTGGATGGGGTACCTACTTGTTCTTCGCTATCCTCAACGCAATCTTCTTCCCGCTCATCTACTTCTTCTACCCCGAGACGGCAGGCCGAACACTGGAAGAGATCGATGTCATTTTTGCTAAGGGTCACGCCGAGAAGATCAGCTACGTTATCGCTGCCAAGGAGCTGCCTCGTCTCAATGAGCGCGAGGTCCAGGAGAAGGCTCGCGAGTACGGCTTCTCCGTTACCGACGAGGAGGCTAGAGGCTCCACGTACGAGAAGGAGGATGCGGGCATCGAAACGCCACCTTCGGATTAGAGCAGTGCTGTCCGATGGGATTGCTTTTGTGGCGGGTCCTTTACGCCCGCTGCTATGAATACCAAAAAAAAAAATAGAGGACTAGATCTGCTTGCGAAAAGCATGATGTCGTTCAACGACACCTCAAAAGGGGGACGACGACACGATTCGTGTCAAGCACCTCAAGTCGAGATCGCACTGTCTCACCCAAGCCCACATTACGGGTCAACTAGGTAGAGCTCCGAGTCGACTCGACTCCATTTATTTTCTACATTCAATCGTTTTTGGAGGTTGAATGCGGCAGACCAGACGTCACCGGGAGCATGATAGACCACCAAGTATGGGGTTATGCCAGTGGGGATAGAGAGTCTAGCATACATAAGATACCACTTTTTTTATATTGTTATTATTACTTTGAAGACGTCATCGGCGGTGGTAGTATATTATTAACCCCGTCCCCCGTTAGACGCATAGGTAGATATTATACCTGATGTTTATGAGAACATGATATTCAGTTTTTTTCTATTTTAATGTACCTACACATTCCCGGTTTTCAGTTGAATATGGGAAAGAAATGAATATGCTACGTCGAAAGGACGGACGGACGGACGGGGAATGATGGAAGAATAATGGCTATGACATGTATATAGTTCTAAAAGTTGAAACGAAATCATCTCCAGCGATGGATAGTTCAGTACCTCCAGTTATCTGATTTGTTGGTACATAAACTCTTGCCGTCATAGAACACCCCCCTTGTTATCTTGGGAGAGACTGAACTTGATCCTTCATACAGCCTTAGCGTCAAGATAGATGCCTGACCTAACATTAGTGTAAAGTGCCATTACCTAATCCATATTGCATGGGTAACTGGGGGGAGAACTTATCTCATGTAGGTAGGTATTATAGAACTTTTCGAGGGAAAGCCCTATAGGCCCCGTTAGTAGTGTAATTATGCATACAGTAAGTAAGTTATTTTCATAACCTATGCGTAAAAGTGGGCTCAATTCATGGGGCACTCGGCTTTACAGCGGGCCTGTGGCGGGAATTCACGGAAACATTCACACTACCCTACCTACATACATAGGTAAGTACTGTAGCTTTATGTAGGTACTAAGTAGTAGGTATTTCGGTAAGTAGCATCGGAATTCACGCGAAAAGCGGGGGGTGTGACGGTCCAGTTATGTGGCGCGCTACTTAGGTATATGGGTGCATTTAGTAGAAAAATTCCCCATACAAAATCTCCAGCTCCTATGGCATAGAGGTATTGCGTCGCACTCGTATTTAACTCATGTACGAAATGCGAAGATCCTCGGTTCGATTCCGAGTGGGAGCAAGTCTTCTTTTTGCCCCTTTTTCACCCACACTTAGGCTACTGAATGTTACCTTAGAGTTTCCTACTCACCTTTTTATCGACTTTTCATTCCTCTTTTTTTTTTTTTTTTTTTTTTTTTTTTTTTTTTTTTTTTTTTTTTTCATGGCCTTTTACCAATGCATTCCCTCCGGCGCCACCCCCCCTTACTTTTAGTTCTGTTATTGTTTCTTAAGCCTCATATCATAACCATCTAGCTTAGCCTCGACGTTCAAAATTCCTTTTCAGTCTGGTAGGCACCTCATACGGCTAGCTGCACGCATATACGGAGATGTGGAGAGCTCTGGCGAATCCTTTTCTTGATGCATACATCGCGTTACATTGCCTGCAAGCGGGATGCGAGACAGATGAAATTTCCCGGTCCAGTCGGTATTCTCCGATGGAATTGCGTTGCGGGATGCCTCTTTTCTAAATTTAGTGTAGGGCGGTGGGCAGTCAGGAACCACTGGTAAACAAGACGTATGGCGATACCATGCTTTCTAGGGTCATGAAGAATATACGGGAACCTTCATACGGGGTTCATACTCGGAGAATCAGTTAATTTGTTCATGTTTCTTGCTATGCCCAGGCACCCATCCTTATCACCAGCAAAAATACTTAGGTATCTACTGCCGTGGCTCTAAGAGCTTAGAATCACAACTCTAGGCTCTGCGAGACTGGATTCAGAACCTAAGCAACACTCAGTATCCATCACCTCTTCTGGGAAGGTCACAGGCATGGGAGTCTGCTATAATCTCCATGCAGAGGGCAGGCGACCTCCCATCCACGAGTGCCTCAGCCATACAAAAACCGCCACTCCTCTTTTTCCGCTTCCTCCTCTTCGCGTAGCAGCTGCTCGCGCACATCTTCCAGCGCTTGACGGCACAGATTGTCCGCGAATTCGTTCTGGTGCCGCGGGATCCATTGGTACGTTACGGTTCCGTCCAGCTCATCGATCTCGTCTGCTAGGCCCAGCGCCTCCTCGATCAGGTCCCGGTTCGCTACCTCGACTCCGCGCGCGTTGAGCCATCCGTTGCGTACCCACTGTTGGTATACGGTTTCAGCCATCGCCATACTGAACTGGGTAACTTGGAAAGGAGAGGGGAAAAAAGTGAAAAAATTCATCAGATATCAAAACTCACCTGGCGAGCCAAGACGCCCGTCACACAACCCACCGCATAGCGCGAGTCGGACCGGATACGTACTATGAGCCGCGGACGTGTGTCCAGTCGGCGGTAGCGCGCGAGCGCCCACTCGAGCGCCATGATCATGGCGACGAGCTCGGCGCGCTGGTTCGTCGGCTGCATCCCCAGTGTCGGCATGAGCGTTCGGATCCGCGACAGGGGCCCGCGGCTCCGCGTGTGCAGCACGGCCGCAGCCGCGGCGACGGTGTTGCGGCGGTAGCCGATGCTGGGCCGGCAGCCACCATCGACGGTGAAATCCATTATATATGGCATCGTCCTTTGGTTGTAGTGATCGTGGTCGCGGTTGCGGTACTCGTGTTGTGTTGTGTAGATGGTTTGGTGGACAAAAGACAAGGATGGAAGGGGAAGAAAGCGTAGGAAAGTGATGGTAAGGTTTGGAGCCTTTTATTTTATTTTATGCTGCAGTCCCCGTAGCTATTCGGGGTCAGGCTGGCAGAAAGGGGGGACTTGACTGATAAGTGACTGGCTAACCCGGAGGCTTACTACCACGGAAGAGCCTATTCCCTATGTGATGAGCAGGATATGAGTATTGATGTCTTGCGGTGAGATATCAAGTGGTGTGGTGTGGGAAGTCTGTTGGTTGAGATTATGGAGAAGGGGAAGAAAGAAACGTCCATCCTCTCTTACTACAATAAGGGTTGTATTTTAACAAGACCTGGCCTGGACGGACACAAGAAACCTGAGTAATTAACACATTTCTCACGCGTGCTAGCATTAAATGAGCAGATCTTGTTTGTTGGCTGATGTTGTCGCAGTTAGCAGCCAGACCAATGTTGATAAAGGGCGGAAGTACATCTAACAGAACATATGTCGCCTCCCCCCCTTTTTATAGCATCCTAGCTTCGAATTACTCTGGAGTAGGAATTTGTTACGGCAAGGCCGCGTGTTTGTATAATCAGAAATAACTAAAGATCGAGGTTATAGGTCTTGTTGTAAAGAAAGTGTTTCCAGTACTAATGTAATACTTTTAGATTAATTGCTGTTAAAGGAGTGATTAAAGTGTAAAGAAATGAAAGGTTTATATATACTAAGGTGAGTGCCCGCCGACTTGGGCGGGCGCTCCGGGCGCTCATCGCCCGCGTCGCCCGCAATTGCCATAACCGGAAAGAAATGTAGTTCCAATTACTTCTTAATCTGGTGTACACGTAACTTCCCTAGGTCACGTGTTCAGTGGGATCGTAACAGAATTCTAAAACACAAGGTATTTAATTGGGTTATACAATGGGGGAAAGGTACCAATAAATATATAAAGTGGTGTTACGTTTAGGGTTATGGATTTTATGTATTCAATAGTAAATCATTCAGCTCTAATGGTCATAAGAGGGTTCCTATACAGTTGTAGCAATATGTTCGTATTTATCACTGACTACCTACCTACTAAATTTGGGAAGGTTAAACGTACATAATAATAACGACCATATACATATTTAGAAAGTCAATGGAGTTGACAGGATTTCTTTACCAACTCTCAGGGCACATGTGACTATAATAGCGGACCATGGCAGCGTAGTCCGCGATGTCTGCCGGCTTTGAACTCTTCTAAGCCGGGGTCCACTCCTCTTCGAGTATGTTTAGTGTAGGTAGTAGGTTGGTAGGAGTAGTTGAAGATATGTGAAGAAACAAGGGGGGAAAAGACAAAAAAGAAGAAAAAAAAACATACAACACCAGGGATTCGCTGGTCGTCACCGACCCAACTACTAATCTGGCGGTACCCAGCTTGTCTAAGGCAGAGCGGACGGGATGCCGAATATTCTGAGTCCTATGGTCGTATGTGATAGATCAGAGCTTTTTCGAGATCTAAATAGAAATGCTCAAAGCATTGGGTTGCTTATTAACCCTAAACGCGACTTATAAAATAGGCTGTTTTACGTAACTTTTATATATTTAAACTTAGGTACCTATGTAATTAACTAGGTATATTGAAACTGATATAAGTTTCTTTAACCTCAGCGATATAACAAGCTGTTCTTGACTGATGGGAAGGGTTTCGGGCTTTTTCATCATTTCACCCGTATATTTCATAGTTTAGGAAGTTTATCATATTGCCCTGTCTGGTCCTTAAGATTCTTAAAAAAAAAAAGGGGGGGGGGGAGATAGTGTGCTGTTCCCCCAAACTTGAATGTGCACCGTATGCCTCTTTGTTGCATTTTTTAATGTTCTCTTACGAGCCAAGAACCAGACTTATCCTAGATATTCCATTATGGTTAGAATGGGTTTTGCATTTAATTCGGTGGGAGAAATGACAAGACCACAAGACATCCCAGCCGACAGAAGCAGAGAGGACTTACTTACCTTCGTACACCTTCTTTCAGGGTCTCCTCGTCAACGGAAAATATCAAACGGAATCGTCCTGGGCTCGGGGCGTGGTAGGGTTCCCCTGGCGACATTATTACACCTACCTTTTCGAAACGCTCCGTCAAGAGCCTCTCTGCAGCCCAAACATCGCCATTGGTCTCTGCGGTGGGAAGATGGGCACTCAGGTCAAGCCATATGAAAAAGCCGGCGTTCCTAGACAAATTGCCAGTTACAATTTATTAGCATATACTTCTCCCACACTTGAGCAGGCTTTACGAATGTGTGACCCCATACCCTGGCTTATGAAACTCAATACCTGCCCGCTCAAGGAGGTCTTCGGCCAATAACCGATTCTGGAGCAGCAGACGGTCCGACTTTTGCAGGAAATGTGCGAGGAATTCCTGGTCCTCGAGAAGCTGTGCGGCCAGCTCCATGGAGAATTGGGAAGGCGAAGAAAAGCGGCTAACGAAGGAAAAGATCTAGTTAGCGACGACGATGCTATCAGTGCAGATGGGTTGGTTTTACCATGTGGCACGGGTAGCATTCGTAAAGTCCTGGTTCTGGGAGATCACGCAACCCAGACGCATCCCGCTGGCACCGAAGTCCTGGAGGCACACATGCACATGGGGCCTTAGGTTAATAAACCTCAGACTGTATCTGGCAACGATATAACACGCACTTTCGACATGCCGTACAGGACATGAACTTGGGCGGGATCTATGATACCCACGGGGTCGATAGCCCGCACCGAGATGAACTTTTCCGACGGCCAGTCGTGCCTTGCGTATGTCGAGAGCGCGTATATCTCGTCGCTGATGAGGTGTATCCCCTTCGCAGCACAGAGGCGCAACAGCCCCTCAAGCGTCTCGCGGGGATAACATTGCCCTAGCAGATTCATGGATTAACTTACTAGGCGCAATATTACTTTGCTACGAAAGAACTACAAAAAAGCAATGCGATCGGTCGATAATACCTAGGGGATTATGTGGGTTGCATATGATCAACGCTCTGATGTTGACACCACGCGCCTTCGCGGCCTCGAACCCAGCGTCAAAGGCCGTGATACAAGCCGGGGAAAACTGGTCCATGTCGCCCATTGAAATGTACTCGAGCTCGATTCTTCAATGGCATGGCTGTTAAAACTGCGACCTAGCCTAAAAGTTCGCAATTTAGATACTCACCCAGTTCGTTGCGTAAGGTCCTTGGAGAACGAGCCGTAGATGGGGCCCCCGAGCATGATGGCCTCATTCTGCTTGGGGTCGCAGGTGATCAGGGCGCAGACTTCATTCAGATCAGTCACACCGGCGGCAAATGTGATTTCCTCGGGATCAATCCTCTGTGCCGGCTTGAGGTGCAGATTCAAGTGCTTCGCCATGGCGGTGCGCAGCCGCACCGTGCCTGTGAAGCCTTCACCATAGGAGCAGCAATCCTTGTTGAAGTTACTCTACCCACGGTGACATCAGCAACCAGGTAAAACGCCAGAGT